TCATAGCGACCCTATGTACAACAGCCCTAAACTCTGCTCTGTCCTGTGCATGTCTCACTGTCTCCAACACACCCATCCCGACTACCCCAGTCACTGAATCAATCAACCTCATAGAGGGCCTTCCCCTCCTGGGCCTGCCCTCCACCCTCCCAAGCATGATGTCCCTCTCCAAGGACCGGTCTCTCCTTACAACATGTCCAAAGTATGTCAGACGAAGCCTCAGAATCCTTGCCTCCAAGGAGCAGCCTGGTTTAACCCTCTCCAAGATGAATCTGTTTAGTTAATATAAAGATTACTCTCACAGCTTTAGATCAGTGTTACAAAGTTCTCTTAGTTCAGACTTATTGCCATCAAGTAGAACCTACTCATGACTGCTCCTCCCGTTGGTTTTCCAGAAGTGGTCAATCACAAGGAAGGAAATTGCTCATCTTTCTCCTTCATATAACATCTCGTGAACTTGAACCAGGGAGGCTTTTGGATTAGCTCCCTACAGACTACACCACCAGAGCTTCCTACTCCATGGATGACCAGTAGAACAAACAGATTTGTCCTAGAAAAAGTGCAGCCAGAGTAGTCCTTCTAGGCGAATATGAGGAAACTTTGTTTCACATACTTTGGGCAAGTTATTAGGAGGAGTTGTTTCGTGGAAAAGGACATGCTTGGAAAGGTGGAGGGTCAGCAAAAGAGAGGTTGATTCCCAGTGAGGTAGATTGACACAGTGACTGAGGCAGTGGGCTCATCTCTTATGAGAGATGATAGGGATAGCACACGAGAGGACAAGGTTCAGATTTGTCGTTCATAGGTTCCCTATGAGTTATACTCAACTTGACGGCACCTAACAGCAACAACAACAACTATATATGTGTGTGTGTGTGTGTGTGTGTATGTATATATATATATACACACACACATGCAAATTTAGTATAGTTTACATATTAAATTATATATAATTATATAATAATTGTTGTTAAGTGCCCACGTGCCCTAAGTAAGTGAGGCAGAACTTCATAATCCTAGCCTCCTAGGAGAAACTTGGTTTCACCCTCTCCCAGACAGACCTATTTATTTCTTGGCAGTCCATGGTATGTTCAAGAGTCTTCTCTAGCACCACAATTCGAAGGCATCTATTCTTCTGTCATCCTTAGTCATCGTCCAGCTCTCCGGAAGCATAACAAGTAATTCAAAAGACCATGGCCTGGATTAGGCGCACCTTTGTATCTAGACTGACATTATTATGTGCTGTCAGAGACCTCTCCAGAGTACTGAAGAACAATGATGCCATTCTGGAGACTAAAGTGTGCCTGATATAGGTCATGGTCTTTGCAATTGCTTGCAATGCATCAGAGAGCTGGACAATCACTAGGGATAATAGAAGGAGAATTGATGCCTTTGAGCTGTGGTGTTGGAGAAAAGTGTTGAATGCTAGGATTGCAGAATTGCAATCCTAGTTGAGTGCAGAATGCATGGATTGCTAGGAGAACAAACAGGTTCATCCTGGAGAGGGTTAAACCAGGCTAGTCCTCGGAGGCAAGGATTCTGAAGTTTTGTCTGAAATACTTTGGAGAGGTTACAATGAGGGACCGGCCCTTGGAAAAGGACATCATGCTTGGGAAGGTAGAGGGACAGAGCAGGGGGAGAAGACCCTTGATAAGATGGTTTGATTTAATGACTGGGGTAATGGGGGTACATGTGTCAGAACAATAAAATTGACACTGGACAGAGCAGGGTTTAGGGCTGTTGTACATAGGGTCTATTTGAGTCACAGGCAACTCGATGGTACATAACAACAACAACACTTACATATATTTAGGACCATGAGAATAAATAAGGTAATATGACCAAAGGAACTTAGATCTTTGTGAATGAGTAAAAAATTTTTTCGGTGGATTTCCCGCCAGGCTGAGAAAGAAGTAGACAAAATTTGCATCTTTGTATTAGCAGAAAGGAGGAAGTATAAAACACTCGGTGATGACACAGAAACTTCTCCTGTGAGACCTTATAGGGTATCATGCGTGTCATGATAGCCGCATCCTTGACAACGGCTTCACAACAAATACCAAAGTAGTTTCACTATTACTGTTCCTTGTAGTTAAAGTCATACCATCAAACAAAGCTAAACTCAGTGAAGCTAAGATTTAAAGATATTTGTTGGAGGTTTTATTTGGTTTTTAACAAGTCCACTTTTGTTTTCTTTGTTTTTATCATTTTCTGACCTGCTTTCCTTTAGAATTTCTCTAAGTCACAGGGTAGATCACGAAGTTCTGCTTTTTAACTATTTCACCAGTTTCCTTGTCCCCTCATTTAGCTTATTCAAAATGTCTCTTTAGTTAGGATCTTTTGAAAACATGATCTATTCAATCTTGTTTTGGCATCCACTTGTCCCCAAAGTGACAACATTTGTTTATGGAGAGAAATACTGACTACGTAGTCATCTTGGAAGGAATGCAAGACGAAGACTTGTGTGTGTTGGTCCTATGGGCAAAGATCACTTACTTCTGCAGTTTCAAAAGCAATGATTGGAGTCTGGAACTCTTAACATATTATGGTGGCAGCTACTAGTATGGATGCAAAACCAATAACTTGTTGGCTTTGAATCTTCGAATAGAATAAGTCAATAGAGATGAAGCTTCCAAATTTATATTTGAAAATCCCATATATTTGGAGCTTTCTGCAGAAGACACACCTTAACCATTTGCTGCTATCTGGTCTCAGAAATAATGGTGAGCTGAATCTGAAAGGAATAGAAAAGACTATTTTTTACCAGGCAAAATTTGTTTGTGTAAACTCAAATTTCAGTTGTCTTTTTTAGTTGCCTTTGGCAGCAAACATTAACTTGACGACACACTGCCACTCATTCCTGGGAAGCACCAAGTATTGGGTTTATATCTATGTTCAGACAGAATCCGTTTTAAGTCATTCAAGAAGATATAAAACATAAATATTTAGATAAGACAAGCTTATATTTTTGTGTCATGTACTCCATCATCTGTAGAATAATTAATTTTTAAATGGGCCAGTGAAAAAAAATTTAATCACTTACTTTACAAAAATAACTGTAATAAGGAATTAGTGCAAATTAGAGAGATTCATTATAAATAAACTTGATGACTCACTGTAAATTTAGTTGAAAAGAAAGAATATGAATAAATTAGTTAAATCCTTTTGAATTAGAGAATTTTTAAGATATTAAATGATTTGTTACTGTAAGATCTGAGTATGAGTATCAAGAGACTGCATGGGTCCCATAGAGAAATATGTAAGGAATGTAGAAAAGTGGTCATAGAATAGTTAGTAAGCTTTGAACTAGATTATTAAATGAGACAGTCAATATGGATTGGCAGAGAGGTAACTGAATCAGGATGGGGTAAGATTAACTTTATGCTTTGTAAGTTGTTTGTATGGGGAAGATTTTTGAGAAGAGCAGAATTTACAATGTTATCATTTTCATCAGTAACATTGATATATAAGCAAAAAGCAACTTTTGAAGAGTGATAAGGTTCTGTTGAATGGTTTGTTGGTTGCAACTTTAAACACTGCGTCATCACATGAAAAAATGTTTTGGCTACGTGTGTGTACTGTATTCATACAAGTTATGTGAGTTATAATAGTGCATGATGGTGGTATAGGATTTAGAGAATTCAGATACTAATCAAAAGGCTGGTGGCTTGAACCTACCATCTGTAACATGGAAGAAAGATGAGGTGGTGTATTTCCATAAATTTCTGAAAATATCTTAAGATCTCTTTTCCAAGTTTTTATACTGAAGTTTTAAAGTTTTAAGTAGAGTTTAAATTTTTCCTCCCAAACATTATTTTCTTTATCTCTTTAAGAACCTTGTGGTTTTATTTATTTTTAGAGTGTTTGAAACCATATAAATATAAGCTGTGGAAATTGGCTATTCTTTTATTCACACATACAAAGCAGTTCTTCATAATGTAGTCATATTCTATCTAGGTATGTTTAATTGGGAAAATGAATTAGTCAAAATGCAAAATATTCTATGGGTTTTCATCTTTTTTTATACATATTACTTATCCATCCATCTATTCGTGCTTACATACAACCATTTATTCTTTAGTTTATTCATTCGTCAATGTTTCTACCATATTTTAATGTGTCTTGGAGGAAGTAAAGTCAGAGTACTCGTTGAAGGCAAAGAGAATAAAGTTTTGCCTCACTTACTTCTGGCATGTTGCAAAGAGGGCTGGTCTGGTCCTTGGAGAGGCTTGGAAAGGCAGAGGGCTGGTGAAGAAAAGGAAGACCCTCAATCAAGTGCATTGACACAGTGACTGTTTGCAGTAGGCTCTAGTGTGTCAGGAAATGTGAGGATGGTCTCGAACAGGATGAGGTTCAGATCTTTTGTTCTAACGGGCACTGTGGATGTTCTGGACTTGACAGCACCTACCACCACCAACAATTTACCATATTTAAGAGAATATACTGGTGTCTGGATGAATGGGGAAATAACATGAATTTGAATAAATAATAAAAATTATATCTTACTTCAGTGGACCACATGTAGAAATTCTTACTTTCCAGAAGTGATGGTCAAGTATATACTTTAGGAATTTGAGGACAGAAAAGAAAATGTCTTACTTTTAATGAGGTGATTTGAAGATTTCAAAAGTGCTTTTAGAGTCACAACAAAAGGGGTCTTGAAATGGAGGTACTAGATCCCTGTGAAAATAGTTTAGCTTTTTACCATTTGGTAATATTATATAATTGAAGATACCTGCTCACAGGGAAAAAAAAAGTCTAGAAAAATTTTTAGAGACATTTCACATTGTTGATACTCCCAGTTGCTGTAATGAAAGTGTGGAAGTATCTAAATGATTACCAGAATACAGTAGCAAAACTGGATGAGGATCTTTCTGCTTTCAAATCCATGGGCTTTCTTTATGAAAAACCTTAGACACAATGCTGTCTTGTTTTTTGAGAATTGTTTGTCTTGATCTTTGCTTATTTTCCTTTTGCTTAATATTGTAATGCATTCTTTTCAGAGACCAAATTGTACGAGGCTTGGAGGATTTAAGACAAGTTAGTCCAGTAGGAGAGACGTATATACATGAAGGACTAAAGCTAGTAAGTTCTTTTACATTCATGAGTGTGGAAAAGAATACATTTTGACTCTAACAAAGTTTAAAAGCCATAATTATTATTTGTGTTATATTCACTAACACATGCTTTAATTGTTCTAGTGATGATACTGATGAACAAAATGATTTCTGATAGTTATAAAAATTTGGATATTTTTGCCTTTTAAAATATTTTCTGCTTTCTTGGTGGTTGTATTCTGAATAGTCAACCACAACTAAGAATCTATGTCCCTTAAAGCTAACATTAAAAAAAAATATCCTGACCAATCAAACAAAAAAGCAAAAAAACCTTGATATTAACTGAGCTTGAATGTGAATGATATTCCAAGTAAGATAGCACAAATCTTATTTTAAAAGCCAATTAGCAATATTTTGATTTTTGTCAAATTTACAGATTTGGTTTGATGGAACATGTTGGTTAAAAGTTAAAATTAAATGATAAGTTGGATAATTATTCTTCATTTTCAGGCGAATGAACAAATTCAGAAAGCAGGAGGTTTAAAAACCTCCAGTATCATAATTGCTCTGACAGATGGTAAGTTGGACGGTCTGGTGCCATCATATGCAGAGAAAGAGGTGGGTATTGAACTGAAACTGTTCTTACACCCTGCTGTACTTTGCTGTGTGTCTCTGCATGTCTACTCTAATATTTTTATAATCTTCCTCTCTTTCATTCTCTCTTCTGAGACAGGCCAAGGCGTCCAGGTCACTTGGGGCTAGAGTTTATTGCGTTGGAGTCCTTGATTTTGAACAAGCGCAGGTGAGTTCAACAGGTCTAGTAACTTTTTGGGTAAATCTAGTAAAATCTGGCATATTTAAATGGCATTACTATTTTAAGAATTATTTGTCAAATTATTTTTGCAGGTAACTTATATCAGTTTTCAAATATCTTTATAAAATGCTCATTTCTTTACTATATATATGACTTAAGCTCAAATTTAAGAATTTTTTGAATTTAAGATTTCATTACTGAAAATGGAAATCTGAATTTCTGATGCCTACTGGGTTTGAGGAACTGATGTAAGAGAAAAACTAGCACGGAGGTGATACGATTACTGTTTGTCTTCTTTAACTCAATAGACAAGATTGTGTAACAGTATTTTTTAGAGGGTTTTTTTAGGTTTCTTTTTTAAATTTTTATTAAATTTTATTACTTTTAATGAACATTTACAAAGATTTTGGATTTCCATTCATTCATTGTTGCACTATTTAATTTGATTTAAAATTTGACCCAGATGTGCAGGGACTTGAAATGTCCATTAAGAAAAACATTTTAAATTTTTCTTAGACTTCTTCAAAATAAAATATATTTTTCATAAAGTATTGTGGAATTATATATTTAATTCCCCACCCCTTCCTCACAAAACAGTTGTGCATCTAACTAAATTCGAGGTTGAGCCTGGCTAAAACTCCCATGACTCATGGCAGGCACAGATTTCAGAACTGCACTGTTTTGGGATTGCAAACTGAGGCCATTGAAGTTATTACTGAGGCTGATTTCCACTTGCTTTTGTGGTTCTATGTATAGAGTAACCACTGCCACTACTTTCTCTGACCTCTCCCACAGGCCACATTGGTGGTTTAAAGACCGTGTTGAAGATTTTTTTCTCTCAGATGACCACAACCATTAATAAATCTTTAAAAGTATTGTGCACTTTAACCAAGGACTCGTCAAGTGTCAGTGGTTAAATACTCAAATGCTAATCAAAAGGTTGGTGGTTTGAATCTACCCACCATTCTGTGGGAGAAAAATACGGCAGTCAGCTTCAGAAATGACTGTAGCTTTGAAAACCCTGTGGGTCAGTTCTACTGGCTCGCAATCAGTGTGAAACAAATGGGTACTAATGGGTTTGGTTTATGTTTTGATCTTAAAACTCATTGCTACTGAGTCCATTTCAAGTCAGAATGCTCTACTGGGTTTTGGAGCTTATAAATCTTTATATGAGAATGCTTCCCATTTTCCTTCCTTGGAGAAGATGTTGAATTTGCACTACTGACCCTTTGATTAGCTGCCCAACATTTTAAGCACTATGCAAACCTCTTTTGTTTATGTCTTAATTACTTCTTATTTTTTTCCCTAAAGCTTGAAAGAATTGCTGATTCCAAGGAACAAGTTTTCCCTGTCAAAGGTGGTTTTCAAGCTCTCAAAGGAATTATTAATTCTGTGAGTAAACCTCTGGAGCAGGAGGTCATTATTTTAGATACATTTTTTTTATCTTTATCTTTCAACTGCTTTATCTTGTAATTCTTATTCCAGAGCAGGCCATTATTACTTTGAATAAAGTGACAAGGGCGGGGTTTTGTTTGGTGTTGCAGATACAAGGTAGTCCTAAAGATCTGGCTTTTTTTTGTGAGTGAGATTTGATATTAATTCTTGCAGATTGAATTCAGTGAGCCTGGGCTTTTGATTTCAAGTTTTAAGGTTTTCATAAATGGCTCAGACACATCTTCCCTTTGGGCATGGAGTTTCTAACTGTTCTGATGTCTTGAAAGTTTTATATTCATACAGGAGACATGTAAAATAAAAATTTGGATTGGAATGTGTGATTACTCACTCCTCCAAAAATGGCATTTCTTAGGTATCAGTAAGGCAACTTGAACCAGCAACTGAATATTTGACTACGGTGGTTGTTGTTCTCTCCATTTTAATGATAACTAGTTTCACTGGAGCTCATAATATTTCTGTTTGGAATTCACTTGAGCTGTCTCTGGTGATCATTAGAATGTGGGTATCCTAAACAGGGTATAGGGAAAGGGAGTGATGAAATGCAAAGCAAAACTCATGGGTTTTCACAGCTGAAGTTTATGTTTCCTTTTACTGCCGTTTGCTGGAAGCACTAGGAACGGTTGCTATTAAGTATTTATGATATTTTGGTAAACAACATCCTAAAATGAAAGTGAATAATATATATTCTCTAAGCCAAAGAGCTTTCTTTAATCTTTCGGTATTTATTGGGGGAGGAGGCTAGAAATCTTAGTTTGTTCTGATATTTGGTTCCGGCATTTAGTAGTTTTCTTTAACTAGCATCTTTTTCAGAAACACAGATTGTCTTTCATTGAATTTGTTTTTAGTAGTAACACAGGTTTGCTTCTTTTAAGTGAATGGAGACATTTAGAGAAAACATAATGTAATTCTATCACCTAGCAGGACTTTTAGTGGGCCCACCAAATGTAAATGTAGAATGAGACAGAGTTTCAATTATTATAGGAATCCTTCAAGAAGATGGAATGACACAGAGAGTGTAACAGTGGGCACAGCATGTCAGAGTTCGTGAGGATGGTGCAGGACAGCGCAAGGTTCAGATCTGTTTCAGAGGATTGCTGAGTCGTCAACTCGATGACACCCAACAACCACCACCATGTATATTATTGTGTTTATTTTTATAGGAAAATTGCAATGTAAGAATAGTATAATATGTTATAGCTGGATTAAAAACAAATGTTTCATGATTTTAGTTTGAAAATATAAAAAAAAGTATGGGTAATGCAAAAGAGCATGTAATTTGAGCCCCTAGATGAAGGAATCTTATGTAGAGTGTCCCTTATGTAGAAATTTATTGTTTGGAGGACTTTCTTTAATTATTAAGTTTACATTGGTTTGCATACACAGTTTGTATATATTGTGTTTCACACTGTCTTTCATTTACATAGTGTTTTATACATTCTCATTAATTAACCACGCCCACCATTAACCTGTCTTTCCAGATACCTGATCTTTCTTATTTCCTTTACTCCCTCTCCCACTACCACCAAATTGTGCAACTCTATGATTCCCCCACCCCGTGCACCCTTACCCCTCTGTTCCCCACTCTCCCATCTCCCCTTGGATTCTCATACATATTCTACTAGTTATCCTTTCGTTTTTACAATTATGGTCCTATGCAGTTTTTATCCTTAGGAGACTGAGTTAGTTCACTCAGCATAATGTCTGAATGCCTTTATAATTATTATTGTAAATATACTGGGAAGACAGGTGGTTCAAATCCACTAGCTGCTCCATGGGATAAAGATAGTAACTTATATAATTTAAGATTTAAAATAGCCAGTATTAAACCACCCAACTCACTAACACCTATGTCCCATAACTTCAGGTTTTCCATTTCATTTTAAAAACTTCCAGTTTCCTTAGATTTTTGTTATGTATTCAACACTGAGTTTTAATGAATATTAAAAATCCAGTATTACTACTTACTTACTGGTGTGCCATGAAAACCCTGATAAGTTTACTCCATCTATGTCTGAGGGACATCATGCTTGGGAGGGTGGAGGGACAGCGCAGGACGGGGAGGCCCTCCATGAGGTGGATTGATTCAGTGACTGGGATAATCAGAATGGGTGTGTCTGAGACAGTGCGATTGGCATAGGACAGAGCAGAGTTTAGGGTCGCTATGAGTCGCAAGCGACTCATTGGCACATAACAACAACAACATGTCACTAAGGGAGCTCAGGTGGCTTAGTGGCTAGAAGCTGTACTGCAATTCTGAAAACACGTTTCGAGGCCACCAACAGCTCCGTGGGAGAAGGATAGGTGGTCTCTTCCTGTGGGATTAATTGCATCTGAAAACCCGTTGGAGGATCAGCTACGGGTTGGTTCTGTCTCTGTAGTACATAACAACAGCCATGTCGCTAAAGTCCATTTTCATAGACTAGTTTAAGTAAGAAGCTCTTGTGAAGCCGTATTTTTAGTGCCTTTCAACCTGATAGACTTACCCTACAATACTATATTAGATTGTTGCTGTTCATTAAGTTTTCACTAGTCGTTTATTTCAAAAATTAATGGCCAGTCCTATTTCCTAGTTTGTCATAGTCTGCACAGTATTGCTGAAACTTGTCCACCATAGGTGATTTTGTTAGTATTTGAAATACTGGTGGCACAGCAACATATAAGCAACAAATACTGGTGCCACAATACAGTTAATATTTAGAGAATGGTGAACTACCACTCTTACTATATTATTATCACTCTATAATAATATGCACAAAGTGTACTTCTGACTCAAATATTAATGACACTGTCAAGTCTTACAAAGTCTTAATTTTTTAAAAAAAACTTGTATTTGAACTTTAAAACAAATATGCTGTATCTTTTCCAGTGTGGGTTTAGGCATTTAGGAAAGATTATATATCTATTGTTTATGATTTACCAAACTAATGGGTGAAATTGTTCTGTGGAATTTGCACAAAGCTAAGCAAATGGAAAAAAATAGAAAACATGAGTCTTTTGGATATTTGGGACTGCATAGACAGAATATTTGCTTAATTGACATAATGTTAAAATTTTGTTTATTAGTTTTAATGAAAGTTTACAGAGACTTTGGATTTCCATTCATTCATTGTTTCACTTTTCCCTCTGCCCAACCTCCCCCCCGCCCCCAATTCGCTCTTCTCTTTGAAAAGTAAAAGAAAAAGCCTTTCATTGTTATACAGTCCCTCCCCACAAGTCCACTCCACTATGCAGCCTTCATTCTGGACTCCTTTCATGACAGAAATACCTAATAATATGATTTAAACATTTAAACTGTAAACTTTTAAACAGTTCTCTCCCTCATCTGTTAAAAATGCAGTATACATAATTAATCCCACCCCCAATGTCAGTCCTGTTTTACTACAGTGACATTATGCAGTATTTGTCCTTTGGTGACTGAGATATTTCACTCAGCATAATCTCCTCCAGGGTCATCCATTTTGTAAAATATTTTATGAGTTCCTTGTTTTTCAATACAGCATAGTATTCCATTGTGTGAATATACCACAGCTTTTCTATCCATTCATTTGTTGATGGGCACTTGGATTGTTTCCAGCTCTTTGCTGCTATGAACAAAGTTGCAATAAACATGGGTGTGCTTATACCTGCTTGGATGATGGTTCTGGTTTCTTTAAGGTATATTCCCAGTAGTGGAATTGCTGGGTCAAAGTATTTGCAACTTTTTGAGAAAGCACCATACAGCCTTCCATAGTAGTTGCACCCTTTTACACTCCCACCAGCAGTGAATAAGTGTTCCAGTTTCTCCACAACTTCACCAGCATTTATTGTTTGCTCTTCTGTTAAGTTTTGTTATTCTTACTGGAGTGAGAGGAAATCTCATAGTTGTTTTGATTTGCATCTCTCTTAGAGCTAGGGATTTTGAACATTTCTTCATGTGTTTGTTTGCTCACATTTGAATGTCTTTTTTTGTGAAGTGTCTGTTCATATCCTGTGCCCATTTTTCAGTTGAGTTGTTTACCTTTATCTTGTGGTGCTTGAGTATTTTATAAATTTTAGATGTAAGTCCCTTATCTGACATGACCTAATATTTTTTACCAGTCCGTGGCTTCCCTTTTTAGCCTGTTGGAGAAGTTTTTGGGAGTGAGTGCATAGGGATTTGATTATTAGACGGTCCCGTTCATCTATTTTATCCTCTCCTAGTTGTAGGTTTTTCAGGATGCTTGGAAGACTTTTTATGTTGTGTATTAGGACTTCTAGAGTTTTCCCAAGCTTTTCTTTAATGACTTTTATAGTCCTTGGATTTAGTCCTAGGTCCATGATCCACTTTGAGTTGGTTTTTGTTTATGGAGTGAGGTGTGGATCTTACTTGAGTTTTCTACAGATACTTTTCCAATTTTGCCACCACCATTTGTTAAAAAGGCTGTCATTTCCCCGCTTGACTGATTTTATCTCCTTGTAAAAAATCAGCTGACCATAGGTAGATGGGCTGATTTCTGGATTCTTCTCTCTCTCTCTTCCTTTTATTAATTTCAATGAACATTTACAGAGATTTTAAATTTCCATTCATTTATTGTTGCACTTTTCTCCTCGCCCACCCCACCCCCACCCCCAGTTTGTTCTTCTTTTTTTGGGGGGGGGGGCAAGACAAAGATTCCTGATCAAGCCCAAATCAGTTTGCTCTTCTTTAAAAGCAAAAGAAAAACCTCCTTCATTGGTATACAATCCCCCGCACCCCCCACCTCCACGCCGAGTATACTCCACTCTGCAACCCTCATTCCGAACTCTTATGATAATCATAATGCCATAAATATATTACTTTTAAACTGTACTCTCACTCATTGGCTTCAATGTAGTAAATATAATTTATCCAGTTTTTCTCAGTCTTACTCCCACCCTGATGTCAACCTCATTCTACAACAGTGGCACCATACAGTATTTGTCTTTTATGACTGAGATAT